ATGATGATGATGATGATGATGATGATGATGATGATGATGATGATGATTGTCCACCAGTTCCTCTTAGCCTGTTGACTTATCCTCCCCACTCTGTATGTATGTGTGTATGTCTGTATGTGCTCGTACATTTGTGGAAGCTAGAGGTTGATGTTGGGTGTCCTCTAATTGCTCTCCTGTGGAGCTTTGCTGGATTAGGTTAAAGTCTGCTGTCTCAGGATATCCATTTGCTTGTGCTCAGTCTATAATAGTAGATTCCCTTTTCTCATCCAGGTTCTAAAAGTCTCCCCTGATCTGGGTGACTTTTTTCCCCCCAGATTTTGTAAGGAATGTCACACAGCCCTCAGGGCAGATTACAGGCTGGACTCTTTCTTGATAAGAAAACTGGTCCAACAAGCATCTGGGAATGCCTAGAAATACCCCACCCTGCTAAGGATCTTAGTTTTTAGCAGTGACCTTCAGTTGTACTTGGAGATTCCCCCACCTATAGGATAATTAAGTACTGTGTTCTCCTTTTTTTTAAAGTTTTCTTTTTTCTTTTTTAAAAATTAAAAAAAATATTTTAATTATAGTTTTTAAATTTATTTTTAACTATAGTTTATTCACTTTGTATCCCAACTATAGCCCCCTCCCTCATCCCCTCCCAATCCCACTCTTCCTCCACCCCTCTTTTCCTCCCATGCCCTTCCTCCAGTCCACTGATAGGGGAAATCCTTCTCCCCTTCCATCTGACCGTAGTCTATCAGGTCTCATCAGGACTGGCTGCATTGTCTTTCTCTGTGATCTTCCACAGGGTGAGGTGATCAAAGAGCCAGCCACTGAGTTCATGTCAGAGACAGTCTCTGTTCCCCTTACTAGGGAACCCACTTGGAGACTGAACTGCTATGGGCTACATCTGTGCAGGAGTTCTAGGTTATCTTCATGAATCATCCTAGGTTGGAATATCAGTCTCAGAAAACACCCCTAGGTCCAGATTTTTTTATTCTGTTGCTCTCCTTGTGGAGCTCCTGTCCCCTCCAGGTCTTTCTATCTCCCCCTTCTGCCCAAAGTTTGGCTATGAGTCTCAGCATCTGCTTTGATACCCTGCACGGTAGAGTCTTTCAGAGTCCTTCTGTTTGCAGGCAAATGGTGGGATCTAGAAAAGATCATCTAGAGTGAGGTATCCTAGAAGTAGAAACACACACATGGTATATACTCACTTATAAGTGAATAGTAGACTTATAATATAGGATAAACATACAAAAATTTATATACCCAAAGAAGCAAATCAAGGAGGACCCTGGGTAAGATGCTCAATCCTCATTTAGAAAGGCAAATGAGATTGACATCAGAAGAGGGAGAAAACAAGGAACAGGACAGGAGCCTACCACAGAGGGACTCTGTGTTCTCCTTCTAGGACAATGTGACTGCAGGGAAAATGAGGGACTGTACCACTACATGTAAATCAAGTATCACTGACCCTCCTACCCTGTTGAATCAAACACATTCACCCAATAAATCCCTCCTACTGCCCAAAGATTATAAATCCCTCAATTTAAATAAATGTGCTGGGGTACGTACATGCTGGCTGGTTTCGTGCAGCATGATACCATCAACCTTCCACCCTGGCCATCTGAGATTCATCATTTATTTCCCACTGGGCCTTCTCTCACTGGGCCTACCCTCTAACCCACTGGGACTGGGCCTTGCTGGGCCTGGGGCTTACCAGGCCTGTGTCTTGGCTGCAAGCCCACCAGGCATGGGCTTTTGCCTGCACCTGTGCTGTGCTCAGCACAGCAGCTTAATTAAGAGCTCTAACACTTTGGTATCACCAAAGGCTTTGTAACATCCAAGATTCCATTGCCACCTGCGATCTCATTCTAAGAGAACTAAACTGTAACACTCTGTGGAAAACCTTTTCCACACCCCAGTCTGGCACACACAGCCCTTACCCTAAAGTGCTCTAGCTATTCCTGAGAGAAACAGAACCCCATTATCTACCCAGAAGCCGGGTCCCAGGCCACCACTGAAATCCAGGCCCCTGCTGAACTGAGAACACTGTGTTTTTTTGAGACAGGGCTTCTTGCTGACCCTGGAGCTTTCTCACTCAGCTAGAGTGTGTCTGACCAGTGAACTCAGTATCCTCCGGTCTCTGTCTGCCAGAACTGATATTTCAAGTCACTCCACCATGCCCAGTGCCTGCCTTTTTGTATGGGCGGGGAGTCCAAACGTAGGTCCTCATGATCACCTGGCAAACATTTTACCCCGGCGCCATCTTCCCAGCCCCACTGGACACCTCTTGCTTCTGGGGGAATCACCAGGCCTCTGAGCCTGTGATCTGTAGGAGTCAACAGCAGCAGGAGGCAAAACAGCTCACTAGGGGTCACTGACCCAAACTGGTGGCCTGCTTGGATAGACGGGTGGCTGGCTGGGAACAGGGCCGTAGTCCTCAGGTTAGACCAGTGATTCTGAGATGGAGCATGTTGTCTCCTAGGTGATATTTGACATTGCCAAAGAAGAGTTTGGCTCTCACAACAAGTGGCTTACTACTGGCATCTTTCAGAGACCAGGGATGTTCTTAAAATTTCCACAGTACACAGGTTAGCCCCATAAGAAAGGATTCAATAAATAAAAAATGAAGAATTAATAAGAAAGAATAAGAAAAAAATTAATAAAGTGTTGGCCCCAAATTCCAATATTTTCAACACTGAGCAACCCTAGGTTACACCGATCATGATGTATTGGTTAGAGCTGAGTATAACATTGCCTTGAGTGTAGTAGAGCATTTTGTGGCAGCCTGTAGACACAACCGTGAGAGTCCAAGTCATGTCTCCAGTTTTGCTCAGTGGGTGAAATGTGCTGGCTGGGAGCAAGGAGGCTGGTGATCCACAGTAAGGAGATGGACATAGCAGCATTGCTGAAGGTCTGCTACTCTTTGACAGGTATTTGTACAAAGTGTGAGTCATCCTTTAGGATGGTAGAGGACTTGCCTGGCATGTACAGGGTTCGGAGTTCAATCTCCAGTACTGCAGCATGTTCTGCCAGCCACATGTCTTAGATTCTGTGTCTGTAGCTTCATCTGGCTCTGGTAGAACACACACACACACACACCATACCATGAACAGACCTTTTTTGTTGCCTTTTCCTAAACACAGTGTAGCAACGATTGATAGCATTTGCATTGAGTTAGGAATTATGGGTAATCAGGAGATGTTTCAGTGTAGAGCAGTGCTTCTCAACCTTCTTAATGCTGTGGCACTTTAGCACAGTTCCTCATGTTGTGGTGACCCCCAACCATAAAAGTATTTCATTGCTACTTCACAACTATAGTTCTGCTACTGTTATAAATCATTAATATAACTATCTGATATGCAGGATATTTGATATGCGACCCCAAAGGGGTTGTGAACCACTGGTGTATAGGGTAATATGCATAGGTTCTATTCAAATGTACCAGTTTATCTGCGGGACCTGGGCCACCTCATAATTTGGCATCCAATGGAGGTCTTGGGGTCACAAGCTTGTGGAGGCCAGGGGCAGCTGAACTTGACACTCATAATTTAGTTGCTCTTGTCCTTAGCAGCACTTTCTTGAGAAGTGGGTCACTAACTTGGGGCATGGTGACTTGGGATCCAGGGCTACTGTGATAGGATTGGTTTATAGCATTTGTTTTCTGATCATGTTAAAAGGTAGGAGGAAGAGTGCGAAGCTCTGGACATCCACTCCTTTCACTTTTCATTAGCATTTGAAAAATGTCTCTTTCATGCAGTGTTCATTAAGGTTTTAATTCTGCAGTTTGTTCCCTTTTAAAGTGACATGCAATTAATTAAGGTTTAATGTGTCATCTATTTTTGCAGTGGCGTTTTTACTGCCCCCTTTTCATTTTTGCTAGTTTATAAATTGTGTTCTGGCTAATGAGGTTCTCCTGGATTCCAATCCCAAATAATTGCCACATTTCTAAGGCAACTATGCTTTAGTGTGTCATGGGACTAAGGTGGTTAGCAGGTGAGTTTAGGTGAAGCCGCCTTCTGAGCTGGAGGCTGCTGTGAGTCTGTGGGGCAGGGAGTGTCCGAGCCCCATGCTTTTGGTTTGGAACAACTAGTCAGCCACCACGCGTCAGGCATGTGGGTCTGTGTGAGATGTGAATGAAGATGCTACTGCTGGCTGGGCCCCTAGGGAGCTCATAGACTCCATAATTGGCCCAGTTCTCCTGCATGCTTTGCCAGCGGAGTATAAAGGGACTTGAATCCCTGCATAACTTTTAGCTATGTTGGGCTGAGATTGGACCAAGATGAGCTGAACAGCAATTCTACATCCATTTCTGTAGGCAGAAGTTGAAGTGTGTGCAGGTCTCATCTGAGTTGGTATTTAAGTTTGCAATGTGTTTTGGGGAGGGGGACATGGTAGAGGGATTGTCAGGAAGTGACTGGTGTAAGGAAGATTCGGAAGTCTGGAATCCACAGAGAGCGTGCAGGCAAGAGCCTCTGCTTCCAGAAACTGTGCTTGCTCTTAGGGCCCGAAAGTCATTGGATGAGGCTCACCGCATTTGGAAAGCAACTTTTTCGGCTTAGACTCAAACCTTTTCAGGCTTGTATTTAGCTTAGTGTTTGATCAAACCATTGGATACTATGGCATAGCCGAGCAAATACAAAATTAACTGGCATGATTATGTTGAGTATAGAAGATCAAGGCTGGGGTGCCTGGCTCTCCATCAGTGGCTTTGCAGCCTCAGGTGGCTGCCTTAGCCGCTGGGACCTCCCCTCCCGTTATATTATCAGGAGCCTTGCTAAATACATACTTCTCACATGCAGGGGGAGATGTTTGGCCTCCACCCTGAAGTGCCCACTGGCTTGTCGAGGCAGTTGTCCAGTCCACACAAATAGCAGAACATTACCATGTTGACAGAATGAGACCCACCATAGCTATCCACAGAGATGAGATGGCATCAGGCTTTGCCAGTCCCTCTTAGGCCATTCCTCATTGCTAGCACATTCTTCTCTCATTGTTCAGTGATCATGGGGCCCACTAAAAAAATTATTTTTTTAAAAAAATTACATTTATTCACTTATTTGTGTGTGTGTATGTTTGTGTGTGTATGTGTATTTGTGTGTATGGATGATGTGTATATATGTGTGTGTGTGGCACAGTAGCGCATGTACCATGGCGCACACGCAGGAGTTATGATCATGCTTGGGTTCCAGGTACCAAATCCAGGTTGTCATTCCTGGTGATAGGCACCGTCACCCACCAAGCCATCTTCCCAGCTTCACGGAGACTTGCTTCTGTAAAACAAACACTGCCATTTTATTACTGAAGTCGGAGTTTTGTTTGCTCAGTTTTTTTCTTTTTGCTTCTTGAGACAGTGTTGCTGTGTGCAGCCTCAGCTGTCCTAGAACTCACTATTTAGCCCAGCCTAGCTTCACACTTGAGATTCTCTCACTTCTGCCTCTTAAGTGCCCGAGGTTACAGACCTGAAACGCCTTGCCTGGTTTTGTGGCAGGTTTTGTTTTGTTTTAATCTAGGAAAGATGAACTATTGAAGAGACATTTGCAAGGCTATGGGTGGTAGGTTGTGAGCATGGGAACTGTGACTGCACTGGGCCTGTTCCCTGTAAGCACTGTCTGGAATCCTGCCATCACTCGTTGGCCTGTGGAGGAGTACCATGCTTCATGTGTGTTTTTCTTTTTCAGGGGCAGACATTCAAGCAAGGGATCCCCGTCGTGGGATGTCACCGCAGGAGTGGGCTGCATACACAGGCCGAGAGGAGGCCGTTCGTGTCATGCAGAGGCTGATGGAGCGACCCTGTCCTGAGCAGTTTGGGGACAAGTACAAGCTGGAATTGCCGCTTCCCTCGGAGGCGGAGTTGAAGAGGGCAGGTTCCAAAAATTGCTTGCAGAGATTCACTGCGTTCCTTCGGTCCACTCTGACCTCCCGCTCGGGCCAGAGTCTGGAAGATGGAGGTGTTCTTGATCACATGGTCAAGATGACCACAAGCCTCTACAGCCCCGCTGTTGCTGTCATCTGTCAGACGGTGTGCCCAGAGAACCCTCCCTGTGTGGGGAAACGACGCTTGGCGGTGCAGGAAATCCTAGCAGCTAGGGACAACCGGGACTCCCAGGTGCAGGAGAGCAACAAGGTCGAGGATTGTGAGCCGCAGTTCCAGACTTTGGAGACCCCCACAGCCAGCCCCTGGTCTCCCCAGTCGCCTGGGGCTTCGAGGTCCACCCCTGCCCCTGTTACACGGAGGACCAGCCTCCTGCCTTTGCAGTTGCTGCCAAGGAGAAGCGTGCGGCCAGGCGTGGTGATCCCCAGAGTGCGCATCAGCAAGGCCCCTGCGCCCACCTTCCAGCCTGAGCGCGCCACGCCCAAGGGCAGCACGAAGGACAGCACCTACCTGCAGATCCCTAAGTGGCGCTACAAGGAGGCCAAGGAGGAGAAGAGGAAGGCGGAGGAAGCAGAGAGGAAGCGCCAGGCAGAGGCACAGAAAGAAAGGCGGGCGCCACGCTGGAGGAAAAGGACGTGAAAGGGGCATGATGCGCGTGGTACACTTGTGCCTGGTGTGGGGGGCAGCACAGGGAGGCAGCTGAGAGGAGGCGGGTGCTGCAGACAGCACCAGAGAGGGACGCTCCTGACTGCATCCCAGCCGCTGGGCCATTCTCCTTTCCTACATCCACGAAGGGTAGTCCACACTGCTCCCAAGACAGAATTGGAAAAAGTACAGGTGGTTTTGTTTAAAACCAGTTCCCTGAGCAATCCATACACCCACAGGGCAGTTTTACCTAGAAGTCATCCTTAGAGAACCCCAAGTAAGAATTAAAAAACCCAATTTATCAAAGGTCATTTTCACATAATTTTGTATTTTGTTATTTATGAAGAATTGCAGCATTTTACAAGTGACAGGCTCCTTGTAATTAAGTCAGTTTTAATACTTGTGTTTGGAGACCCTTTGTTTAAAATGCTGTCTTTAGCAATAAAAACTTGTAGTGACTGTGTGATTTACACAGAAACTCATGGGATTCTCCCCCTTTGCCATTTGGTTCTGGCCTCTGCCTTCTCGTGTCCTATGGACACACCTACCTGCACACTAGCTTTTCCTATTAACTTGAGTGATGCCCAATGGCTGTTTGTATTTGAGAAAGGCAAATCACTTCTATTCAAAGTGATCAAGCAAGACAAAGTCTTACTTCTTTCCTTCATTTTTAAAACTCTTGTTTCTGCCACCACCACCTCCACCACCATCATCAACCATATCATTGAAACTGATTATGGCACATTGCAGAAATATGTATGTCGCCAGGACCAAAGTCATTTTAAAAAGGGGCTTAGATAGACCATAGTCCAGGTGATTTGAGGAAACCGGTTATTTTATTTTTTTTTAAATTTTATTTTTCTTTTTAGTTACATTTTGTTAACTCTGTGTCCCAGCTGTATCCCGCTCCCTCATTCCCTCCCCAACCCCACACTCCCTCCCTGGTCTCCTCCCTGCCCCTTTCCAAGTCCACTGATAGGGGAGGACCTCCTCCCCTTTCATCTGACCCTGTTTTATCAGGTATCTTCAGGGCTGGCTGCAAAGTCCTCCTCTGTGGCCTAACAGACTGCTCCTCCCCTGGGGGGGGGGGGGTCAAACAGCCTGCCCTTGAGATCCTGTTAGAAATAGTCCGTGTTCCCCTTACTTTGGAAAACTACTTGGTTACTGAGCTACCACGGGCCACATCCGAGCAGAAGTTCTAGGTTATATCCATAGATGGCCCTTGGTTGAGTGAAACCGGTTATTTAATGGAGGCAGATTTAACAAATGAGCAGTAGAAACTAAGTCATATGTGCTTGCAAACAGCAAACGTGGATATCCTTAAAGTTGCCCAAGATGCAGAGGGTAGGAAAGTCAGAATACTGCTCACTTCTGAGAGGTGGGCAGGTGATCTTCAGAGCTGGTGGGAACACTGCATACCAGACAGAGTAGTTTAGGGAAGGTTTTCCTGTGGCTGCATTCTGATGGTGGCCTACCTTCAACTCCAGAGAGTCCCTTGTGTGTGTAGACAGTTCCCCTTTGATGAGTGGCCCCCATGCTTGGCTCATCCCCACGCCAACTTGATAGAACTACTATGTGGGGACTTTGGTAAGGCAGAGATGGGATTTACTCTCTTATCTCCAAAGCACTGAGAAATCCCAGCTGGGTCTTAGAGTATCTGTCGCACATGCACTTTACTTGGATATTCAATGTGAATACTTGGAAGCTATAGATTCAGAATATTAGATTGATTGGGAAGCCCATTGCTGAGGTCTGTCTCACACTGGTGGTGGTGGTAGTTCACTTGCCTGAGCTTATTCCTTCCTAGTTGGTACCATTGGGCATTAGGTAACAGATCTCTTACCAGCTTTCCCCCAAACTCCATAAAACAGGACCTCAGGCTATTCCCTGGTAGATTTGACACTGGCATCACTGTTCCGTGTTTAAAAATCAAATTTTAATAAGTTTCTCTGTAACCCTAGACAAATACCAAGATGAATGCTTTAGTCTAGACTCTGCTCTAGAACTACTGATATTAGCTGGCTGGATTCACTCTTGAGACCTAGGGCTTTGGTTTGGCTACATCTCCTTGGAGGCTGTGAGGACTGCAATCAACCTCAGTTATCTTTTGGGGTCATCTTTACTGGCTTTCCTGGCATTGTGGATCTTCCTGCCATATGTATGTAATTTGCAGCACTGCCTAGCTAGTCACAAGCCCCACCACTCCTAGTCAAGGCACTTCCGCAAGGCTTCCAGTCCACATCCCTCATGCTGGTTGTCCATAGGTATAACATAATCAGTTTTAATCCATTTCCCTGTTGCAGAGGGGAGCTGTGTGCCACTGCTGTGGCAAGCACCAAGGGTACCACTGCCTTAGTATTGGACTGAGGCTTCTCAGCAGGGCCTGTGGGAAGCCCTCATTTCATTTTCAAGGGCTCTTCCTGGACACCCAACTTGAACTCCCATAAAAGGCTCCATTTCTGTAAGTTGGCATCAGTGCACTGCCAGATCACACGTCCTGTTTACACTGTGTTAAGGTCACATTAGAAGTGGCACATAACCCTGCCAAGGCCGGGTTCCTGCCGCTGACCTATTAGAGATGTATAGTTTTGTTCCCTGCTAAGCATGGGCGCTGTGGCAAGGGGCTAGTGGCTTCCTTTGTTTCCTGAGTGTTTGGAAGTGGGATTCTTTCCCTAAGTATGCTAGCCCTCTCCAGGCACCAGGATAATGTTGTTCCTGGCTTCCAAACTGGCAAGGCTGGCTGGCTTCAGGGAATTATTACTACTATTTTTTCAACTTGGATGTGAGTTGGCATCTCTCCCCATTCTGTGGAACTGCCTTTATCTGATGGGCCTTGTATGTTGAGAAGGTAACCGCCAGATGTCCAGAAGTTTGGGGAAATTCCCCTCCTCCTACTTCCTGGTGAGCTTTAATTTGCTTCCTAGGAGGAGATATATTAAGCTGTGAGACTCAGGGATCCCAGTGAAGAGAAGGCCGGGCCATACTGTGCTGTAGAGCCTTTTTGGTGTCTCTCCTGAAGTGCAGTCCTAGCTTGTCCAGTGGGAGGCCTGCTCTTCAGCATAGTAGATGAGCCTTCAGGAATTTCCCCAGTCAAGGACAACATTGCCAAGCCTCTTTCCTCATTCAAAGGAAAGGAAGCAGGGGTGATGTCCAGAGTGCCATATGGGAGGAGCCTGTGAACAGCACCCACTTACCAATGCTTGTCTGGACCTTCAGGGTCACCTGGTGTGAGAGTGGGTAGGGGGAAGTGAAGGTGCAGGCACAGAAGTTCACTCCTGTCAAAAGGAAGGAAACCCCCATCCATTCAAAGCTACTGGCATTCTTGTGAAGGAGGCGCCTCATTCTTAGGCCATGTCACTAGTTTTATCTCCTTCTAGTTGAGGGGTTTCCTAGAGATGTCATCAGTCCCTGAGGTCTAGAATCAACCCTATGGTCCCCAACATCCAGCAGCATTGCTTAGGAATGATTTTTGTTTGTTGAACAATTACCTACTCACAAGAGGAGAGGGGGTGAGGCTGACAGATAGCCCCTTTCTTGCCTGTGTCCAGCAAGTATCTCTGTGCCTGCTGTGACACCCATCCCCAGGCATTCTCTTTGCATCACCTTTTTTTCCACTTGCTTCCTTCCCCAGTTGATTAAACTCCTTGCTCATCCTTGCACCAGATGCCTTGAGGTCTAAAATGGTAGAAAAACAAGGCTCTTGAGAAGTCGCTGGTGGTCCCAATGCATTATCAGACTGAGACCTCTAAACTCCGGGAGTGGATGGAAGGCAGGTGTGTGGCTTCCGGACATGAGCTCTGCCTTCTGCTTTTTGGAAGGAAGGCCTGGTCCGCTCTCCTGTCCTGGGAGAGCAGAGGAGCAGGCTCAGGGTTCTGCTTGCACTGTGTTTATTAACTGTAAATAGTGAATTCCAAGCTGACAGGTGTCCTCTCAGGGATTTATACATAAATAGAGTTAGGGGAAAAGCTGAAGTGTATTTGAAATCTTTTTGATGTTTGTGTCGATTAGGATTAAACTGGACAGAAGAAATATTTCTAAGATAGTGTCACTGCTGCTCTCTAAGTGAGTTCTGGGGACTTGTCTCTCCGTTGAGATTTATGGGGACTGCGGGGGTGGGAACAGCTCTGGACACGAAGCCACTCAGTTGCTTCTGGGTGTAACCGTTGTGTTAATGGCAACAGCAGAGGTGACTGAACCCCAGATGACCATCCGTAGCTCTCCTCAGAGCTGTTTGCTCTGGTCCTTTGGTCCTTTCTCCTTGGTTTCAAGAATAAAATGTCTGCAGTCATTCTGCAGGAACCTACAGGCTCATCAGGGAGGGTCAGGGAAAGCTATGCGCAAGGGGCATGGCAGCCTTGGGCAGTGTACTGGGCTAAAGGAAGACAGCAGGTGGCAGGAGGGACTTGGTAACTTTGTTTCAGCTTCTACCAAGCTCCTGGCCACACTGGATACCTCAGAATGAAGTCATAGTGGCAAGGCATTTTCCTCTCAGCTTTGGAGGCTCGTCCTGCATTTCAGGATAGAGAGGATTCATGATCTTGGCTAGAGAATGGGTTTATAGACTCAGGAGGGTGTGCCAAGCAGTCTCTGCCCATTCCTTCCAGGCTGGCAGCTGGGAGCAGGTCTTTGGAGTAGAGATACTTTATAGGAGAGATAGAGGCTTGTGGGGAGGGGCCCGGCTTCAGTCCTGAAATGATGGAAAGCTTGCCACCCCCAGGAGTCTGGAAGCGTCAACAGTTACTCCCCATGCTGCTCAGAGGGACAGTGTCTTACCGTAAACTCCCTCCTCCTATGTTGTAAGGAGCCTTTTCTCTTCTACTGTTTTCCAGCAGGCTCCCCCAAGTCTCCAGTGCCGGGCACTGTCTGGATTCTGGTTTGTGCTGCCAGCCCTTGGCTCCTTCAAGCTGGGCAACAGTATGGAGGGCAACAGCTTCTAGAGAATGAATGAAGGAACCCAGACTGTGATGGATCTTTAAAAACAAAACAAAACAAACAAACAAACAAACAAAAAACAAAAAAAGGTCACATTTATAACAAAAGGTCAGGACCATTAAAGCGAGCATAGTGTTAACCACAAAAAATGAAAAGCAATGTCTTAGTCACTCATTCCCAGTTCTGCACATCTGTGTAACTGGAGTCAGCTAGTCATTTCTTTGCCCCTGAATTCACATGTGTATTCCCTAACATTTTAGATAAGTGGCTGGAAATTCTCCCGGAGGCTTTATTTATTATTACAGAAGCAACAATGCTATCAGGTATGCCACCTGGGTTGGTTCAGCTGGTTTTCAGGTGTTACTTTTGGATGCCAGTGCAACAGATACAGTTGTCATATTCTGCCTGAAGTAAGACTGTGATGAAAGGCGAAGCCCCATTGGCAGCCCTCAGCAGCAGGTTATTAATGGGGACCCACTTAAACGTGCAAACCAAAGGGCCAGGACTCTGTGCTTGTAAATGTTCTGTCTGCAGTGGGTCGCAGTGACCCCCAGGAAATGTCATTGAGACCTGTCCTGTTTTGATGGTGTACATTCAGACAAGTTGAAAGGCCCGAGGGTGTACCTGGAGTCCCCCGACAGTGTGAAGCCTGATATGGCTGGAGTTTTCTCTACCTAGACTGTTGTACTGGAACACAGTGCTGACCCAGGCGGCGAGGAGCAAATAATGTGGCTGTGTCAGATTCAGCTCTAGCTGTGGCATGTGACAATTGAAGGAGGGAGCCAGACCCAAGAAGAGCCTCCTGAGGATGGGGGTAGGCTGGTGGGGCCGGCACAGGGTCGCCCTTGGCATCTTACGCTAAGGGCGCAATGGCAGTCCTCAGTCTGCCTCGGTCTTAGCTCTGCTGACCGGTGCTGGCATTCTCTTGGCTGTGATGTGACCCCTCCTGTTGCTTTAGAGGAAAATGTAGATGGAAGAAAAATGAAGCTGGCCATTGCAGGGAAAGCAGTGGGCTGTGCTGACCTGACCCTTTATGAACTTTGAGGAGTAGTAATCAGGCACCTAACAACACCAGTTAGAAAGGTCTAGGAACTGGTTCAAAATGGTGCAACTCTAAATACACCTCTCGGAGAGTGTGAGGGACACTATATCAGCCTCAGCCATCCTCCCCCTGAACCCCGAAGTGGAATTAGGCTGGTGTTAGAACCCAGAGCTCCGGTCAAGTGACTTGCTTGGTTCAACTGATAGTTCTGGAAATCAATAAGAAGAGAGTCGTGCCCAGCGTTGCCTGGGCATATGAGAATCTTCAGCAGTGGAGGCTGGGCGGGTATGGAATGGAAGCAGGCTTCTGCATGGTCAGTGGTCAGGTCTGCCTCTGGGTTGAGCTCTGTTTTCTGAATGGGAAGCATTTTCCTCTGTCATTTCTATAATTTCCATAAATCAGTTTCCAGATGTTGTAAAGTTGTTGAATTATGAATACTACTGTAAATTCCAGAGTGTTTTATTTTGAGATGAGAGTTTTGCTATAGTTTATATAGGATATTTTCCTACGCAGACCTCAGGGCTATCTTGGGACCACCACTAAGTGTGGCCCTCCCAGCAGCTTCAATTCTGGTTCATAACCTGTAAGTTAAATGTGATATTATTCAGCAGGAAGAATGTGTTCCTCTTTTAACTTCTGACAAATTTTGTTTTAAAGGTCTAGAAAAAAGAGACACTAGAAAAAAAACACAATGGTAAAAGAATTAAAAACTAACTGTAAAATAAACGTTCTCATGGCATAAAATTGTGATATTTGAATTAACTTATGTGCATAAATTATTTAAAAACTATGAAACATATGGTATTTTCCTGTCATTTGTTTTGACTGAAGTCGTTTTATACATTTTATTTCCACGTACTTCCACTTTATCTTTCAAGGGCCTTGAATGTGGTGTTTCTCATGATGGTTCCTCAAATCTACTCATGATCTACCCCTTCCAGGAAGGGGTGCCCCACTTATTTTTACCCAAGTTACATGCCATATGTGTTATCATTCAGGGATTTTTTTCACCAATTGAAATGTCCTTGAGTTTTAAAAATAACTTAGAAACATATTTTTACATTTTTCATTTATGTGTGTACACAGATGTGTGTGTGTGTGTGTGTGTGTGTGTGTGTGTGTGTGTGTCTGTGTGTGTGACATGCTTGCCACTCATTTATGTGGTGGATTAGGGGACAGCTGTGAAATTGGTCCTCTGCTTTCACCATGTAGACGCTGGGGATCAAACACATGCCACGCTTGGCAGCAAGCACCTCACTCCCAGAGCCATCTCGCCAGTCTAAAGGCGTAGTTCATGTAAACCTCCAACTTGTGATCTTTCTGCCTTTGCCTCTTCAGCATATCCTCTTTGCATGCACCGCCAGAACTGGCTTCAGATATTTTTAAAGTATCAGTTTAATGGCCAGGCATCAACAAACACGAGGGTGAACATAAAACTGTACCTTAATCTTAATGAAAATTTATTCATTTGACTATTGTTTTACTTCACGTGTGTGAGTGTTTTCTATGCCTGGTGCCCTCAGATCCTCTGGAACGGATTATACCATGGTGGCTGTCAGGTACCATGTGAGTGCTGGGATCAAATGTAGGTAGTCCGAAGAGGAGCCAGTGCTCTTAGCAGTTGAGCCATCTTCCCAGCCACAAAGCTTTGTTTTTAAAAACTGTATGTTATGTATAGCAATGCAACTTACATGGCAGATAACATTATAATAGAATTTGATAAACAGAAAAAAAAAATCCAGGTTACAAAACCCCACCTCTAGAACGAAATTAAAAATCACTTTTTTTAGCTTTACTTTTTTTTCTTTTTCTTATTAGTTACATTTTGTTAACTCTGTATCCCAGCTGTATCCCTCTCCCTCATTCCCTCCCCAATCCCACCCTCCCTCCCTCATCTCCTCCCTTAAAAATCACTTTTCTAAGTTGGGTCAATGTGACTGGTCATGTCTAATTCCTATTTCACGAATGGTCAATGGAATTAAAGAAAGCCCAACCTCCACAGTTACTGCCTCAAAGGAATAACATGGGCCGGATTTCTTTTGAAGTGCAAAATGATTCTTGCTGCTTCAATGCACAGAAAGTTGAATTCACATATCCACCGTGAAACCAGGAAAAAAAAAAAAAAAAAAAAAAAACACATTAGCTTTCCATCCCCTTTCATGTCCCACATGAGATTATGCCTGAATTCCATCTTCTTTATCACCTGCTGTTACACTCACACAGATTAATGTACATGTATACATTATCAGCATATGTTCTCCCTTATATGTGGACACTGGCTTATAATGTATGGAGGTATGACTTTAATTTTTTAAAGATGTATTTATTTTATTTTCTGTGTATGGGTGTTTTGATGGCAAGTATGTCTGAACTACGTTTGTGCCTGATGCCCTCTGAAGTCAGAAGATGGCAAAGTATCCCTTGGAACTGGAGTTACAAGTGGTTATGAGCCACCATGAGACTGCTGGGAACCAAACCAGGTCCTCTGGAAGAACAGCCAGTGCTCTTAGCCACTGAGAAGCTCTCCTGTCCCAGAATTGTGGCTTTAATGTGTTTTTTTTTCGTTGTACAAACAAGCTCCCTCTCAACTATGCAGTTTTGGGAATACACTGTTTACAGGGAACTTTCCTTCCTTCCTTCCTTCTCTCTCTCTTTCCTTATTTCAATTTATTCACTTTGTACCCCCACTGCCGCCCCCTTCCTCATCTCCTTCCAGTCCCAACCACCCTTGGTCTTCTGTCCCTATGCCCCTCTCCTAGTGTGTTGATAGGGGAGGTCCTCCTCCCCTTCCATCTGACCCTAGCCTATCAGGTCTCATCAGGACTGGCTGCATAATCTTTCTCTGTGGCCTGGCAAGGCTCTGCCCACCAGGGGGAGGTGATCAGAGAGCCTGCCACTGAGTTAATGCCAGAGACAGACCCTGTTCCCCCTACTAGGGAACTCACAGGGAGACTGAGCTGCCTATGAGCTACATATGAGCAGGGGGTCTAGGTACTCTTCATGCATGGTCCTTGGTTGGAGTATTGGTCTCTGCAGGCCCCCCTGGGCCCAGGTTTTTTGGCTCTGTTGGTCTCCTTGTGGAGTTCTACAGGGAACATTTTGGATCCCCTCCATTGTCTTTACTATGTAATATTCCAGAGTGGAGATTAACCATGGAAGCTCAACTATCTCCTCACTGATGGACTGTTAAATGCTTTAGGTATTATCATTTACAGATAATTAAATAATCTGTTTGTTTGTATATATATATATGTATATATATATATACATATATATAAACAAGTCTTATATATGAGTAAAGAAAAAGCATTTGTTAGGTAGGAGGAAATAAGGCATTTTATATTCTCTTTAATTTTTTTAATTATAAAAATTTTCATATAGTATATTTTTGTCATATTCTTCTTCCTCCCCCAGATCTTCCAAGAGCCTTATACTTCCTTACCCACCCAAGTCATGTAACTCCCTCTCAAAATAAAAAAAACAAAACAAAAACAAAAATCTGAAGAAAGCTACAAAACCCAAAAAGTTGAGAATCAAAACAAACTTTAAAAAAAAAAAGACAAAACCCAAACCAAACCAATACAAAACAAAAATACATTGGGGTATGGTTTATATACCCAGTGACACTCTATTGGAGAAAACTAATTTTTTTTTCCCCAGAAGTTATCAATTGCAAATAGCTTTCTGGTTAGAAGTGGGACTTTGTGTGTTCAGTCCCTTCTTAGTGCTGGGACTTTGTCTGGTTTGTGTGTACTGTCACAATCTCTGCGAGTTCCTATGTGTATCATCCCTGTTATATCTGGAAGACACTATTTCCTTGAAGTCATTCATTACCTCTGGCTTTTAAAATATTTCTGCTTCCTCTTTCACATAGATCCCCAAGCTGTGAGGGGAGGAGTTTGGTGAAGACATCTCCTTTAGGGCTAAGTGCTCCAAAGTCTTTCATTTGCACATGGTCCAGCTGTGGATCTCTTGGTCAAGTCCTATTTACTTCAAGAAGAAGCTTCTATGATGAGAGTTGAGTGATGCTCTACTCTGTTGGCATAGCAGTCAGTCAGTACAGTTCATTTTACTGCTATGTTCCTTGAGCAGAATGGCAGGTTTTCCCCTAGGACCTAGCTCGTCTCGGGTTCCTAGCCACCATAGCAGTGTTAGATATAAGCCCCATCTCATGGAGTGGCTTTACATCCATTTTTTGAAGAAGTGGTTGGTTACTCCTGTAACATTTGTGCCACTGTTGCAGCAGGAGATCTTGCAGGTAGGTCTCTGTGGTATGTCACAGCATTTGTGGCTGGGTGATGTTGATGATTACTTTTCTAGGCTGGTAGTACATCTCCCAGCACCATAAGTGCTAGTCAGTAGGCGTGTAGCTTTTAGTTGGGTACCTGCTCAAATTCTCTATAGTCAGTGACATAAGGAAGTTGTGTCTTCAGTAAGAGAGCCTTACCATCAGGTTATAAAGAGTAACCGCCAGCCATGGCAATAGCTGGCTGTGATGTTTGACAGAGTTTCTATGGGACCCCTTTGGCCAACAATTCAACAAAATGCAACCCATTCCTGGAAGGGACAGTTTTACTTGGTGCACTGTCTCCCTCATTATATGCTGACTCCATTATGTTCCTTTCATGTATGTATGTGTATGTTATGTACATACATACATACATGAGAAAGCTTCTTTGATAGTAGAAAACCCACTTTCTCTCTTTTAAACATATGTAATATTAACAGCCTCTCCGCTCTTTAAAATCTTTGACTGTCTCATACAAGTGTACAATGAATTTTAGTCTTTTTCATCACTTGTCCTCTCGCATTCCCATCTTTGTCTCCTTTCCCTGCCCTGTGGTCCTTCCCAGGGACTCTGCATCACTCTCAGCCGCCAAGAGGGTGAGAGAGGCCACGCTCTGCCATCAGACTTTCTACGGCCTGAAAATCCTATGGTTAATATGCTATGTTCCATCCTCTTTGTACCATTCTTGACGGTGTTACAAGCCTTAATGTTTTCACCAATTCATTTCCAAAGTTTGATTTTCACTTGCTTTAGGCTTTACTTTTTATGCTGTTTTTGCTGATCTGTAAGTATTTGTTCTGCATACCGCATGTTTTTCTTTCACATTCTCTTTTATTCTCCCATTTTACCACATTTCAGGTGAAAGTTTGGGGTTATTTAATCAAAATTTCAATTTCTAACTTAAATATCTGAATATTTAAGAAGGTCTTTTCTATCCCTTTAGCTCAAAATTTTTTGCTTAATTCATCATTTAGATTGTTTTAGATGGAGCTGAAAGCAGTCATCCCCCATGATAACTTTCTTTCTGAAAAAAAGGAAAACTGAAGTCCATTTTTTTTTTTAAATCATAATTCCACAGCATTGTAAAGGAAGAACTCACATAGGAAAGGAAGCATCAGTGATGCTTTGTTTTTAGACAGAGTGACTATTGGAAGTTATTTGTGTTTTTATTGATGAGAGCAGATGTTGTATTTATTGTGTTGAAATACTGCTTCGGAAGCTAATGACAAGCCTTGGTCCCCATAAACATGTCTAAGATCTGGATCTCGGGAAGGGAGGTGGAGCAGCTGAGAAGAAAGTGATCTTGTCCTTCCCCACTGGCTGTAAGTGCTGGCGCATGCTGAAGCACCAGGCTCCCTCCCGTGAAGGCCTGCGCTTCTGAAGTGCATACTGGCAGCAGCCCTTCCACTGCAGGTAGCCGCGCTGCTGGCAGAAGCACGGATGGGAGTGAGGATCTGGTGTGCAGGCCTCTTCTTGTGGCCCCTGGCTTCTGGTGGGTCACACCTGCTG